AACTTTTAACCCCATTATCCTCAATATTATCAATATAATTAATAATACAAATAAATCAATTTCACACATCACATCAATTTTAATTCATTATTCATCAACTTACATAATTTTAACTAACCATCACTTCACATTACCTCTCATACTTTTACATCAAATCAACTTTAATTATTTTATTTTAAATAATACTTTATTATAAACTCAATATCTCACTAACAACTAATCATACCATCTTTTTCAAAATTAATTATGGTTAACAAAAAAACCAATCAAATCCATATCCAATCACACTCATAGTTTCATCTTGTGTTTTTGAACAAAATTGAACCATTATCGAACGATTATGTGGCTAATGATTAAATAATTACCTGGAAAACCCGAGCCAATGATTATGTGGCCACCCGTCATGGCCGCCAGAGTAAGAGCCATGAACAATGGCCTCGCCAACCCTTTCCGGTGCAAGAAAATATCCGAAACAAAACCGGCCCCTAACCGGCCAAGAAAATTCCATATACTCCACAACGAGACCAATGTGCTTCTCTCTCTAACCGTGTACCCAAGTGACTCCCCAATTTGGCTAATGTTGTTGATAGTGGCAAGACCCGAACCCATCCCACACAGCATTGCCACAAACAAAAGCCAAAAGTTCAAAGTACGCACGGCTTGCAAAATATTAAGCTCTTCCCCAACATTTGTGTTTTGCACGGGACTTTTAGGCCCTTGATCGTTAACTAAGGGTGTCTTTAGAGTTGATGAAGGTCTTTCCGATTCGTGTTTGTTTTGAGCTTTTACGGCAACTTTGATTGGCGACGAGAGGAGGATCACGAGAAGGGACAAGGTTAGAAGGCGGGTCCACTGAGGTAAAACGACAATGTTGTTCAAGATTATTAGGAACATGAGATATGTTGCGAGGAGGATCGAGATCAACGAGAAGGCGTTTAAGTAGCTCTTGTCGTGGTTTGTGGGTGTTTTTGCATCGACTCTTACTAGGAACATTAGGGCAAGGGACATTAGAGATGGTAATAATGCAAGCATTAGTAGAAAAGTGCTTGGTTTATTGGAAAATAGTGTCTGGTAGACTTGTATGAGTACTGCACCACTCAGGCCAAGGAAGCCCTGCAGAGTAACCAAAANAAAAAAAAAAAAAAAATCTATAAATTCATACTACTTTTTATCATAACATTTTCATCTCATATGTCAAAAAATTTGAACTCTTTATTTAAAAAGTATTTTTTTTCTCAATTTTTCTACCTAAATAGATTTTTAGAAGTGAACACAAAGTTTTAACCATCAAATCACACATCACAATAACCATGTGTACCCATGGGTAGCCCGAGCCGAGCCAAACTCGAGCATTAACAAGCTGATCTGAGCTCGACTCATTAAATAAACGAGTCAAAAATCGAGCTCGAACTCGGCTAATTTATCACTATTAACGAGCCGAGTTCGAGTCTTAATGAGCCGATCTCAAGCTTTAACAAGCCGAGCTATATAAAATTATATACAAATTCTCTTTTCGAGACTCAACAAGCCTTATCGAGCCGAGTTGAGCTCGACTAACCAAACGAGATTTAAATAAGCTCGAACTCGACTCGTTAAGGCCTCGAGCTCAACCCGAACTCCAGTCGAGCCAGACTCGTTTAAGTTAAATGCATTACCCATGGGTTAGGATGAAACTCACCCAAATGACTGTGGGAGTTTTTTTGGACTAAAAAATTACCAGTGGTGATGTCATTGTCTCGTAAGCTAATCAATGTATAGTAAAGGTGATACATTAAAGTATATTAATATTAATTGAGATATAATTGTGACCATATGAATCAAACTCCTCATGTATTTATCAATCACTCAATTAAAATGTTAAAATATTTGTCTTGCTAACCAACAATAAAGGTTGCAAAATATGTCCGACCAGTAGCCTTATCTAGTTAGACTCTGACTTTTTTCAATGTTGTTTTGTGCTCGAGCTCAACAAACTCAATTATTACATCTTATCTCGACTCAGACAAAAATATACAAATCCCTGAGATTTGACTCGAATTTCGCTTGAGTTTACCTCAAGTTATGAATTATTTAGGAAAAATTATACTTAAACTCACTCGAGCTTTATAACATACAATGTTCGAGTTCGAGTTTAATCAGTCAAACTCGAGCTAGCTGGCAGTTCGATTCGTTTGTATCCACTGTTTAATTTTACTAGTATTCGACACTGTGCATTTTTCACAGATGTAAATAAAATTAAATATTATAAGTTATATTTATGTATATAATATAAAAATTATAAGTTATATAAATGTATCATATTTCAAACATATAGTATTATAAGTTATATTTAGGTATATAATATTAAAATTATAAATTATATAATAGTATTATATTTTAAAATTTGATCATTGGTTAAAATAAATAGTACACACGATTTGATTGTATACGAATCACTATATTGATTGCATAAAATGTAATAAATATATACTTTTTATAATTTTGAGTGATCATAACCAATTAATTAGTTGAAAAATATTACATTTATTATAACAATTGTTTATGTGATTTTAAGAAATTTTACTATGACATAAAAAAATTAATTTATTAGTAAACAACATCTTCATCATATAAAAAAATATTGATTTTAGTGTAAAATATAATTTTATGTAACTTTCATATATTATTTAGTATAAAATATAATTACTAATTTTAATATGAACTATTATATTATTCAATAAAAAATATAATTATTAATCAATTAACATAAAATATAATGATTTTTGTCTTAATTAACCCAAAAAAATGTATTGAAATATTTTCTTATTAATGAGATTGGGTGTATTAATGCCACATAAATAAAATTTATTAGGTTCTATTTATTAAGTTTTATTAATGATTTGCCACATAGGTAAAATTTATTAGGTTTTATTTATTAAGTAAAATTTATTGATTAGCTAGCAATTATATATATATATATATATATATATATATATATATATATA